ACACCAAGGCTGGCAGGTTCCAGCCTGGCCTGGGCCAGCCAAACAACACTTACAACTGCAACAGTTAGCCAGGCGTTGTGGTGGGTGCCTGTAGTCCCAGCTACCTGGGAGGCTGAGGCAAGAGAATCGCTTAAGCCCAAGAGTTTGAGGTTGCTGTGAGCTGTGAAGCCATAGCACTCTACCAAAGTGACAAAGTAAGACTCTGTCTCTAAAAAAAAATAGAAAATAGAAAAACTAGCCAGGCACTGTGGTGGGTGCTTATAGTTCCAGCTACCTGGGAGGCTGAGGCAGGATTGTCTGCGCCCAGGAGTTTGAGGTTGCTGTGAGCTACGATGATGCCATAGCACTCTACCCAGGGCTACTGAATGAGACTGTTTCTCAGAAAAAAGAAGAAGAGGAAGAAGAAAGAAAGAAAAGGAAAGGAAAAAATATACTCACCCTAGACTACTTAGCTAGTAAAGGGAAGCTAGATGCTACCTCAACCAGTCATGCCCCCGCCCAGGTCTGAGCACCTTCTCCCATCACAGGCTTTCAATGTGATCAATGGGGGCTCCCATGCTGGTAACAAGCTGGCCATGCAGGAGTTCATGATTCTGCCTGTGGGAGCCAGCTCCTTCAAGGAAGCCATGCGCATTGGTGCTGAAGTCTACCACCACCTCAAGGGGGTCATCAAATCCAAGTATGGAAAGGATGCCACCAACGTAGGTGACGAGGGTGGCTTTGCACCCAACATCCTGGAGAACAATGAGGGTCAGTGCTGAGCACCCTGGGGGGCAAGCTCCAGGTAGCTGGGTCTTACAAGCACTCCCCACAGGAAAGGGAGGCTGCAGCAGGTGGGCCAGGAGTCTCAGGTCCTCTTTTGCTTCTCTTTCAGCCCTGGAGCTGCTGAAGACAGCCATCCAGGCGGCTGGCTACCCAGACAAGGTGGTGATTGGCATGGATGTGGCAGCATCTGAGTTCTATCGCAATGGGAAGTACGATCTTGACTTCAAGTCACCGGATGATCCCGCACGGCATATCACTGGGGAGAAGCTGGGGGAGCTGTACAAGAGCTTCATTAAAAACTATCCTGGTAAGGCTCCAGGTGTCTCAGTGTTCTTGCCTAACACACTGGTTTCAGTGACATGCTTTACCACCAACTTGGACCTTTGCAATCCTTACCCCCATCATAATCCCCACCCCCCAACTCTTCTGACCTGTCACTCCTTGAAGCTCCTGACTTCTCACCCCATCTCTGGTCCCAACCCCACCAGTGGTCTCTATTGAGGACCCCTTTGACCAGGATGACTGGGGCACTTGGACCTCCTTCCTTTCGGGGGTGGACATCCAGATCGTGGGGGATGACCTCACAGTCACTAACCCCAAGAGGATTGCTCAGGCTGTTGAGAAGAAGGCCTGCAATTGCTTGCTGCTGAAAGTCAACCAGATTGGCTCAGTGACCGAATCCATCCAGGCGTGAGTGCTTCCTGACTCTGGGACTGACCATGCCTCCCTTTGTCCCACCTCTGCCCAGTCCAGCTACAGACTTGCCAGACAACTCTGGGTCTACCTTTCCCCTGGCACCTGACCAACCCACGCCTTCTTGACCTCCAGGCAGTGGTTAACACTTGGCCTGATCCCAAGAGCTTTACCACTGTGGTTCTGCCATGCCCCAACCCCCCAGCTCTCTCCCAGATATTGCTGCATCTCAGGAGCCCAAACTCAAGATCAGAAGTCTCTTTTCTCTTCCTTCCCAAAGACCTTAGTCATTGCCTTCCCAGCCAAGTGCCCACTACCCAAAACAGAAGGGAGAAGCCCTCTCCCAGCTCCTGGCTTTCCCACTGAGTAGGACCCATAAGGCCTCATTGAATGTCCTCTCTACTCAGCTGTAAACTGGCTCAGTCTAATGGCTGGGGGGTGATGGTGAGCCACCGCTCCGGAGAGACTGAGGACACATTCATTGCTGACCTCGTGGTGGGGCTCTGCACAGGACAGGTACTTGTAGCTTCCTTCTACTGTCTGACCATTTTCCTGGGGTCCCCAGCCTCCTGCTCCTGAGTTGATTGCCACCACAGGCTGCTCACATGAAGCCAGGCTCAACCCCTCCTTTCCAGCCATATCCAATCCTCCAAATCCTTCTTCCTTCCTCAGATCAAGACTGGTGCCCCATGCCGCTCAGAGCGTCTGGCCAAATACAATCAACTCATGAGGTATAGTGGGTACAGAGGGCCTGGGCACTGGGGAGCAGGGGACTACTGGGTTGGAAGGCAGCAACTCTGACTTTACCTTCTAGGATTGAGGAAGCTCTTGGGGACAAGGCTGTCTTTGCTGGACGCAAGTTCCGTAACCCAAAGGCCAAGTAAGAAGCTGGAGGCCCCAAGACCCCACTGGGCAAACCCAGGTTTTTGAGCTTTCTTCCTGAAATAAACACTGGTGCCAATGAAGACAGTGGTGTGCTTTCTGGGAGGGAGGGAAGGTAAACTGGTCTCTGGGCTGGGAAAGACAGGAGGTGGAGAGATGGGACAGGAAGGGGAGGCAAACAAACGTGTGAACTACTGGGACAAAGAGGAAGCTGAGTGGATCTGGAACAGAGAAGTTCACATTTTGGAAGGAGGGGGAAACAGATGCCGTATGTGAAATGAAGCTAAAGAGGAGCTGATGGAGGGTAGTGTCTGTGGCTTAGTAGGTAGGGCGCCAGCCCCACGTACTGAGGGCGGTGGGTTTAAACCCGCCCCGGCCAAACTGCAACATAGCTGGGTGCTGTGGTGGACACCTGTAGTCCCAGCTACTTGGGAGGCTGAGGCAAGAGAATTGCCTAAGGCCAAGAGTTGGAGGTTGCTGTGAGCTGTGTGATGCCATGGCACTCTACTGAGGGCAATAAAATGAGACTTTATCGCTCCAAAAAATTTTTTTAAACAAGAGGAGCTGATGAAACAAGGAACCAAGTGTAGGAGAAGAGCAGCAGGGTGTGGCATCGAGGGTCTTGCCACTACCATAAGGGGGAAGCCAGCTGCAAGGTTGAAGTAAATGGTCTGCAGAGTATACCTTGAAGTGAAGGCTGCAATCCCAGCTGGTGCATTATAAGTATGAGAGTGTTAATGAGAGCAGCTGCCACTTCTAGGAAGGTTACAAGGATCTGGAACTGTTCTAAAATATTGGACACATATTGACCTGTGCAACCTGAAGCAGTCCTATCAAACAGTTACCATTATTATCCCCATATTACAGGTGAAGAAACAGGGTTAGCAACTGGCAAACTGGGATCCA